GTCCAGTAGGTTACTCGGCCCCATAGAAATTGTCTACCTGAGACTGTCCCTTGGCCCATACGTCCTGACACAAGTTTAGAATTCTAGCTCTTCCAGAGTGGTATCTCATTGATGGATTGGACACCATCACCCCCCTCCCCCCCTCTGAAAGGAGGCCTTCTTCGCCTTCCACCTAAGCTGTGTAGGAGAAGCCCAAAGCCAATCCCAAGGAACAGTGAAGCTTCAGAGGGTTTTTCTATCCAGGTGTCAATTTGACTCAAATCCTGGACCTGATCTTTAATCCTACACAGGTTAATGATGTGATGGGAGAAGTTTTTCTTTTGTCATTTATAACAATAACAACCTCAAATAGAGTTTATACTCTCAAATAGCATCATATTCTCCAGTAATCACCAAATATCTACTAATGGACTTTAATTTCATAATTAAAGCTACAAACTCTATTAGACTATTTGAGCTCAATCAACAAGCTACATTGGCTCAACTTCCATTGACGTAGGTTGAAGCTCAAAACAATATATAAGCTTACAAAACTCAAATTGAAGTATGATATACAACTAGGATTTAGATTAGATTATTTAGTAATTTTTTCTAAGTATATTATTATCTAACTAAATACAGTTAATTCATGAAATTCGAAGATCACAATGTTAGGATTCATAATCCTAATTTCAACTTAAAACCCCACTCAAGTAACGATAAAAGAAAATAATTGATTGATTTGTGTTATATTGAAGGTTTTAAACCTAGAACATCCATAAAACAACTAGAAAACACTAGAATTTTGATTTTGAGATTGAATCAAAACCCTAGAATGAAGAAATGAAGAAGATAGCAGAGTTCATACCTTTTAAAGATTGTAATGGAAAACTCTCACTATGAACTGGTAATTACACCTCAAATGAACTTTTAATAAAGGTTAAAACCTTGCAATTGTCATTTTCCTCTTCCAAATCTTCTCTAGCTCGTATATAATATTTTATGTGAGTTTGCTAACGTCGTATATAACCTGTTCTACATGATTATTTCTAGTGAAGACCTTCAACTTCCATCACCACTTGCTAAAATCTCTATCCCTATATTCCACTTTTCAACATAGATACAAGAACCATATCCAACATAAAAACTGTAACACTCGGTCCTTGCATGTATACTTATTTTCTTTTTGTAAAGTTTAAGTGTGGGAAGTTTGGTCCTATGCGGGGTGTAGGGTAGTCTCCTACGCAGCACATAGAAGGCAACTTGGATATGGGATTTAAATGGTCTAATCAGGGCATAGATCAAGGTACGCATGGCGTAGGATCCCATAACCAAAACTCTAATTCTTGGGGTTGTGAGCCTTATTTAAAGGCTCTAACCCCTTTGAGGCCCTTCCATTCTCAGCCTCCATCCTCCCAAACAACCTCCTTAGAAACCCTAATCCTCGTTTGTGAGTTTTGAGCCTTTGGAGTATTTTGTATTCACTTTTGAAGGAAGAAGGGAATTATGGAACCACCTTGGAGCTCAAATCAGTATAGATCTAGGATTTGCATCCAATCATCCATCTCCAGAAGGAATAAAGTTCCCACCTTGATGTTGTTTTATGTTAGATCTAGTTATGCTTAAGAATTTCATGCTTCTATCCCCATAACCATGGTGTATATGAATAAGAGCTACTCCAGACCATTGGAGTACCATTACAAACGTTTTTAGGGATGTTAAGTCATAAAAATGAGAGTTTGTTTACTCTCATCCAGCCATGCATGAGTTCTTGAGCAATGGATAATTTTATGGACCTAGGTATTGAGTTTGTGCTCTTGGTGACCATGCAAATGGATAAAGTCGGAGACTTTATCCATTAAGACGTCCATTTGGTTTACATCTGGAAGTATGAAGGGTTGATCTTATGTTTTGATGACTTAATGATTAAGATAAGTCATCAGGAGGCATAGCCCTTATTGTGCCCGTTTTTCCTCCTCGATCTCTACGCGGTGCGTAGAGCTTCATGTACGTTGATCTTATAACCATTGACTTTTGACCAATAACCGTTGACTTTGACCAAGTTTGACTTTAGGTCAAATAAGGCATTTTGATATGCAGATTGAGACTTGGTCCCTGTTTATTGTATAGGTGACCTGTAGAGCCGGTATTTGGATATGTGATCAGTTCATCTATCTTCTAGACTTTGAGCTAAGTTTTCCTCAATGTACTTGTTGGTCGAACGCACTAATGTTGGCTCACTAGATTGTGTTAGGTTTCCTTATATATAGGATGTTGTTATGTTGTAGTGATCTGTTAGATTGGTAGACCTGTGGCTGTATGATTACATGTACTTATTGGTTATGGTTTGTCTGCTACATATGTCAACATAGTGTGGTTAGGTTGAGGCGATACTGCTTTGTGTTGTAAGCCAACAACCCGGGGAGCAATCCAGTCATAAGCTGAGGGTCGGGGGAGGGAATTACAGTCTTATGTTTTGGGTTCGGGAGCAATCCAGTCATAAGTTGAGGGTCGGGAAGGGCATTCCCGCCTTATGTTGAGGGCTCGGGAGCAAGCCAGTCATGAGTTGTGGGCCGGGAGCTGGCAATCCAATCTCATGATGTGCGCTCAGGGGCAATCCAGTCTGATTTTGTGGGCCTAATGTACATGTATTGTATATGTATTGTTGTATGAAGTATTTTGGGGGAACTCACTAAGCTTTGGCATATAATTGTTGATTTTATTGGTTTCAGGTACATCAGATGATCGGGGCAAGCAAAAGTGTAATCGTACACATCCTCTTGTTGATTTATCTTTTGAGATCTTTTTGATACTCTGATTATATGGATTTGTTTAGAAAACAATGGTTTACTATCTTATGGTTTTGTGGAAATGTTTTATAAAAATAAAAAAAAATTATCATGGTTTTGGGACGTTACAAAAACCTTTAACATAAATAGTCGAAACATGAGGCTTACTTGCTGTGGTTGAACTATCGATTGTGTATTGTAGCATGAATCTTGATGATTGAATTCCAAGATTCGACACTACCACCAAATAAAATCAACCAAATGGAGATCACAAAAATTTACCATGCTTCAGCTATTGTTGTTTTAGGGCGTGTTTGGCACGGAGCTTTTGGAAGCGTGTGGGAGCTTCTAGCTTGTAGCTTTTGACAAAACGCTCTAGTTTAAACAAAAAGGTTCGTTTGGCAGTACAAGCGTTTAGCTTTTAGTTTAAACAAAACGCTTCAATTCTAAAAGCTACTTCATGTAACGTTTAACAAAACGCTACTGAGCTTTTGAAATCAATTTCCATAATTACCCTTAAAAATATATTTATATATTTATTTATTTTTAATCAATTGTTATTTTATGTAATTTTATATATTTCAAAAGCTTCCAGCTACTTTTGCCAAACAATCATATAACAAATAAAAGCTACAGTTTCCCGCTACCAGCTACCCGTTATACGCTACCAGCTACCCGATACCAGCTAACCGCTACCCACTTCCAGCTAACAGCTACTTTTGCCAAACACGCCCTTAGTGTACATTAGGAGGATATTTCATGAATAGGATAAACGAAAAAAATATGATTATAAACCAGCTACCAAACCGAGAACATAAATTTTCATAAGAACCTAAAACCTATATATGTCAATTACTCGTAAAAACGTGATGAACTCTCTAGTTTGATATCTCATATTGCCCCAAGTGTTTCACATACTCATATGTCAAAGTAGGGCACCTATAAAGAAGAAAAAAATATACTAAATCTGAAAACCTTTTAAAAATAAAGATAACCCATATTTGAGGAAATAAAAAATCCAAATTGCTCAAGGGGTTTGGTGGGGTTCAAATTCAATGGTATGGTTGGTGGTCGGACTAATCCACCTATCAGATTTGATTGGTTTGTTGATGATGTTGAAGTGATGCTTTTTATTGGCTCTTCCAAAAAAGGGTAGGATCAATAGCTCCTAGATAAAAATCCTGAGTCCAAGAACTTAGTTAAGGTTTCATACCAAACACGAGGAGCATTCACATTGGATCATATGGGCTTGCAGTTTCCACCGTGGTAACTATCCTTTTGACGTAAACTCATAGGGCTCAAAGTGATACAATTTACAAAACACATTTTTAATATCTTTGAAAATGTCTTGTGAGAGAGAGCCCATTAATATCACATTGTATATCAAAAGATAAGTAAATCAAATAGTGGTTTGTTATTTATTTGGTAATTGAGCTCGGCAACGATTCCTGATAGTCATTTTTTGGATGTGCCGAGTCGAGTGGGTGAATTTAGTATACTAGAAAGGTGTATATATTTAAAGGAATACTATCAAAAGTTGCACAAAATAATTACCAAAAAATCTATCAAATCGTGTTTTTATGCATCTTAACATTATGCATGATTACAACTTTCCATAGCTATTTTTTGGTGACCTACAATCTCATCAAGACGAATTTGATGATACCAAAATTTTAGAAATTACATAGCCATGCAGCCCACGGAACTTATGACAAACGTCTATGGTAGTTTGGCTCAACTAACAAACCTAACTTCATTTAAAGCTTCTTTTCAATATTTTTGGTTTACTTTTCGAAAATATTGGGTTCTATATATTTTCATTTTTCATTTATATCGCATATAATCAGCGATTTTTATTAACTACGTATTATTTTAGGTATTTATCGTCACTGCTTTTGAATAATTTTGATTTTTGACCACTCATACCAAAAAAAAAAAATCATGTATGTATTCATAGTGTGTTTATTTATATCCTTTATGTGTCACCGATCAAATCTACAAGTCCAAACTTGAATTTAAATAAACATACGAATATAACTTATAAATAAATTTTTATATAAATTACAGCTCAATTTATAGTTTTATAACATGTATTCTATTTTTTTACCCATAATAGCAATGTACTTATATTTCTTCACGTATAACAACAACATAGTTAGCTTTTTTTTTTTTTTTTTTACAAAATGTCACAATATGTAAACTATAATAGCAATGTATCTAAACTTTTTAATACCTACAATTTCCCAAAGTTTTACAGCATATGATAGTCACCAATCTTTTGCATAATGTTGATGAATACATATAAATTATGTGTATAGAATGTTTTATATCTAGCAACAAAAAAAAATGTTATTTACAACCCCAAAAGACTAAAAACTAGTGGAAGATGTGGAAATTGGAGTTACAGGGTAACTCGCATATATATAACAAACGAAACCCCAAAAAGTAACAACCAAAGATAAAATCTTGAGTCCACTCATTGGATCATTCATAAGTATAACAGCTGCAAAACTGGTTAAGGGTACCCTAATTGAGTTAAGAACACCCGCTAACACAGTAGAAGAAAGGTATAACACACCAGTAGACCCCAAAACCCCTAATTGAAAAGTAACTATACCCCATATAATAACGTTATAATACGCACTAACCCCACCTATAAAACTTTCCGCTTCTACCCTCATTGAATAAAAATCGTTATTTACCACAACCCCAAATGTGGTGAAAACGAAAGCAAAGAAGGAAACCATTACCTGTTGTTCCAAGACTACATGAAAGGATCTTCCTTGTAGAAGTTTTATGAAGACAAGTTCAGAAAGGGCGAAGATTAGTCCATGAAGAGCTGACCCCAACACATCCCACATGAATCCAAGGGCGTATTGGGTATTTGTGACGTATGAGAATCTGTCGGAGTCTGAATCCAATGCGATGATGGCCATGGCTGCTGTGATGACGACAATGGAGTTGATAGTTGAGAGATTGATTTGGTTTTTGACTATGAAGAATCCGAAAATGGCGGAGAAGATGAGGACTGTGGAGGCTAGGAGGGAGGCGGTTGAAGCTGGGAGGTAGGCGTAGGCGTATGCGTACATGAGATTATCTGCAGCGCTTAAGAACCCTAAGGAAATGTAGGAAAGAGTGAGGTTTAAGGTGAGGGGGGTTGGGGTAGCTTTTGTGAAGAGGTAGGTAGGGAGTAAGATGAGAAGAGGGATAGGCCACCCTGCAGCTGATACCCATGAAATGATCCATTTGCTTTTGCCACCGTTTGAGAAGTAGAGACGTGAGAGAAGAGAAGAAGCAGGGAAAGCGATAAGCATGGCTAAGCTACTTACAAGTAGAAGAATCCAGTGTGAAGTAGGTTTGTTGTTGTATGCGTTGAAGATCATCTTCTTGTAATCGGAGATTTGTTCATTGAATGATTTTGATGGTGGTATCTCCTCCATCCCTTCTTCCATTCCTTCCCGAACAGTAACTACATGGATAGTCAAAATTGAGTCATGATAAAGCACGATTGATGTCAAAATTATACTCTTCAACAGAAGAATCCAATGATTTTGTTGTGAGTTTCGGTAAAACTACAATTTGATGGAAAATTTATGCTCTGAAAATGAAGGATCGGTATGATTAAGTTGCGAATTTCGGTAAAACGTTTAACTATTCAGAATAACGGTGTTCGTAGATGGAGTAGGAACTATATATGCTTATGATCGATCTAATCAATAGGACAAATGAAATCAAAGCTGAAACTGACTAACCTGAATCAAGCAACGGTTGATGCATTCAGTGGCCGGCCGGAGTTTAGGTCACCGATGAATCTCCGTCGAGGGAGTGATGAGTCGTAAAAATCCGCAACTAATTCCATCTGTCTTGGAGAAGCTATTATCGCCAACAGAAATCTACGCACAATTTACACTAACCCCCCTAAATCTACTCACAATTTACACTAACCCCCTAGAAATCAAAGGGAAATCGTGTAATCTAACCCCTTTTTACTACTATTTTAAGAAAAATAATCAATCAACTTTTTCTTTTTTTGAAAAAATGACCACTCTATTCGGAATATTTCGGACCGTATTTCGTAATGGGTAAATGAGTATATGGATCCAACTCGGTAATGTGGTCCCTATTATAAATAACATTTCGGACTTCATTCCGGACACCAATCAAACTGAAAGAATGTCTTCTTTTAGCAGTGAAGAGATTCATTTTTTATATGTAAGTTTCCATTATCTTTATAATTATATGTCTTTAATTTAGATTACATGTTAAAAAAGAGATAATTTTGTTTATATGCAATTATATAGATATTATTTGTTTTCCTTCGATTTTTAGTGGTTTTAGGCTATTGTAGGATTACATGTGGTTATATATGTGCACTAGATCAATATATCTTAGAAATATTTTAATTCTAACAAGTCCGAAACGACTCCAGAATACAAAGATCATGTCCGGAATATGTCGAACACGTCCAGAATACGTAGAGCTGATCTAGAATTTGTTTCTGTAATGTTGATTTGGAATTTTGTTTCGGAATGTTGATCTGGAATTTTGTTCTCAAATGTCCACCAGAACCTATAAATGTTGATCCGAAATTGTGTTCTGGAATGTCCTCTGAAACATATACTTAAATCTGGAACATGCAACAAATGCCTGATTAATGTTTCTTTTGATTGTAGCATGACAGAAAATACGAAGCGATTGTGACTACGACCTACAGGCCTAAAATCGTGTGACATCCCCAATTTCACGGCCCGAAAAGACCGATTTTGTTTATGCTTTATTTGAAAATCAAAGTATATTTTTAAATAAATATATTGCGAATTTGTTCCCAGAAAAACATGATACATATATTATCAAAGCATTTCTGAAGAAATGTATTTTGTTCATATTAAAACTTTGGGATGTCATCGTCAATACTGAAACATAAGCATAAACAGACTTTGCATTTTATTTACACTAGTGATCTACATCTCCTTTAAATCTCTCAGTGTAAAGTAGCTTCGTATCGACACATGTGATACAAATAAACTTGAGTGGGTCAGGTTGGGAAACCTGGTGAGTACATAGGGTTTTCAACCCACAATAATATAATTATTATATTTAATCATCAAACAATCAACTCAATTATCCATCGCCATTATCTTCTTTAATCTTAAGGATCTACCCTAAGAATCATCTATCCTTCATTCCTAAGGATTATCCTAAGGAATAGGCACGAAGTCCATCGCTGCCCGAGGTTTATACTACAAGCACTAACGAACGTCGATCTCCACGTACTGATCCTATACAATGATCTTATAAGATCTAGCCTAAAGGATCGATATGAACAACAAACTGACGAAGCTGCTTCGGAAATTCCCTAGCAGCAAACGAGGATCGATAAAGACATCAAATGAGGGCAATGGAATAAGTTTCACCACGAACCTTCGTTCGTAAAAGAAAGAACCACAAGACAATTAAGTCAGGGGTAGTTATCTAGATAACAGTGCCTAACAGTGGTCCGAATATCGTGAGGTATTTTACCCCCTAGACTCACTCTATCCAGCATCGAACTTTGCCTAGCAGTGGTCTGAATATCGTGAGGTATTTTACCCCCAGACTCACCCTATCCAGCATCGAACTTTGCCTAGCAGTGATCTGAATATCGTGAACGGAAACGCTGACACATGAAGCTCGTCCGATCACTTCATAAAAGAAACGAAGACTCCAAAGCTCTTTAAAATAAAAAGTATAGGGAAAATACTAATAAAGTACTCCCGTACGCTCCCGTACCCCGACACACAATTGTGTCAAAAAGAATAACTTTGTACATGATACTTATCGGATAAACACATAGTTCAAAAATACATAATCCATACTCCCGGATTAATAACAAATAACTATGTCTATACTCTGCTAAATGACTAGATCATCTTAAACATCGATACCTCTCATCAATTTTTATTTCATCACACATCATCTAATTCATCTACCCATGTTTTACCCAACATATTTGTAGATATAAAATACATATACAGTTTAAATCAATTAAAACATGTATAAAATTGTTCATCCATCATAGATAGCAAGTATACAGATAATATGCACACATAGCACGTAGTTTATATAAGATACTTCATATCTATGTGTAAGATGAAAATAATATGCACTCACCTTAGTAGCGTGAGTTGATAGAATCTAACTAGAAACGGTCAGCGGTTCGTGATCGTCGGGCTCGGGATGCGGAACGGCTTCAACAAACGAGAGAGAGAGAAAGGAATTGGTGTAAGAAGAGCAAGGGCTGAACTTGCTATTTATAGGGTGATTTTTGGCCTCTCACGTCATGAGAATTCATTGCTCACGTCGTGAGCCATGCCTGATCACCTCGTAGCTTCGCCACCTGCGTTCTAGGATTGCATAGTGTCCGTTTGACTCCTCACGTCGTGAGAATTGATGCTCACGTCGTGAGCCCGTTCCATAGACTTGCCATCTGCATTCTAGCCTTGAAAAGTGGCGTTTTGACTCCTCACGACGTGAGAATTAGTGCTCACGTCGTGAGCCCAGTCAGATTAGGGTTTCTGACACGTGTCATGCTCTCAGACAGCTACAACTTCGGAAGGCCATAACTTTTGCATACGAGCTCCGTTTTTGACATTCTTTATATCCACGCGAAGGTGGAGACGTACTCTACAAATTTTATTTAGAATCCTAAAGCTAAAAAGTACTCTATCATAAACTCACTTTTTATGATTCCCGGTTTCGTGACGGTTTTGTCGCGACACTTCGACAGGTCATAACTTCTTCGTTATAACTCGAATTTCAGCGTTCTTTATATGTACGGAAACCTTATGACATATACTACAACTTAGTTAAGATTATTTATTATAAATAATATTCTATTAAAAGTTCATTTTCTGACGCTTATTGTCTCAAAACTGACTAGCCCGAATCTGCGGGCGTTACAAATCGAGTGGGAAATCATGGCCCATTTATAACACAGACCACTTTGTGTGGCCATGTGTTAGGGCATCTTGTTTTGGTTCTTATGTTAACATGTTGATGGATGTCAAATTGACCTGGAGGAGCTTTTATTTCTGGTACATGACTATCAGGTTTGCTTTGCTAGGAAAGCTTTTTGCCTTATTATCGGCTTGCGGTTCGAGGACTAGTTCCACCCTACTTCATCTTTTATGCAGTTCGGACAACTTGTATTTATATTTATGGTGCATTCACGTTTAGTGAGATTAGCTGATATTATGCATGTGTCCAGTGACTTACATCATCAACTAGATGATGCAGACGTCGTAAGAGTCTCCCTTTTGTATATGCTAGACCAGGGATTTTGTGGGAATACCCTCGACAGCCAGTTACTGAAGAAATCCTTGCACTCGTCTCTAATATAGACAAGTTTAACATGTATACATCTATTTATAGTATATCAAATGCTACATATACTTATTAAGTCCAATTATTGATAACCTACATGCGTGTTGTTTGCCCACTGTCTTTGGCAAACAGCACGCCTGTGGAGACTACCCGAAGTCTCAGTGGGAAAACAGCACGCATGTGGGTTATCAGCAACCCTGGAGACTACCCAAAGTCTCAACACATACAAAAAAAACACAAGCACAATAATAAAATTTAGACCCAGATGGTTGTCACATACATATATAACTATTCTACCACACATGTAAGAATAAGTGAGGAGACTCACCAAGCACTAATGACTGATAGAACTCACACCCGAACTGCCGGAACTAGACTCTGCCTAAATAAATATACTGATTAACCTTAATTAATAACTAAGGTATTTCTCACACACTAATAAGCCCAAAATAAGACTAGACCACACTTATAGAAAACACCGATTTGCCCTTACAAAACCCCTCACAATCCATCTAAAGCAAGTGGTCAAAGTCAACGAAAGTCAACAAAAGTTAACAGTCACCCAGTATGCTCGGCGTACTCACTCTATACGGTGTGTAGAACACAAGGTGGGGGGATAGGCTCGCATCTGGCTACGCGGGGCGTAGCCAGGTGTACGCTCAGCATACACATACTAGTCTCAAAAGCTACCACAAAGACGTCTTAACCATTAAGACTTTCATTCCAAACTCAGATCTGTCTCCTAAAGAACATCTAAATCCATAAAGTCTCTGACTTTAAGCCTTTGCATGGCCACAGGGATCTAAAACCCAAAAATCCTAACTTTCTACTTCATTCAAACCCCATATCTCTTGCATGGAAGAAAAGAAATGGCCAATATATCATTTTTATGACTTTAGACATCTTAAAATGTCTGAAAGGATGACTTATTAACTCTGGAGTACTCCATACTCATAAAGATCAAAGCTTTGGGACAAAAAAGAACCAAAATGCAAAGCTAAGCAAAATCTAACTAAATGAGCTCGAAGATTTGAACTTTATGCCTTGAAAAGGAGCACAAAGAGATGAAGTTGCTGGATTTACAAGCTAGAAAGCACCACCACCAATTGAATGATCTTCCTTCTAACACAAAACACTCAAGAATCACTTTCCAAGCATCAAAACACTCTCACAAGGCTAGGGTTTCGATATAGGGTTTGGAGGATATGGAGGCTGGCCATAAGAAGGTACAAGAGGGTTTATGTTGCTTAAATAGTGGCCTCACCCCCAAAAGATTAGGGTTTTGGAGACAACACGAGTACACCCGGTGTACACATATGTACGCCCAGTGTACTTAGATATTGAACTTCCCCAAAGTTGTTAACTTACGTCCAGCGTAAGGACCTTCCATGCAAACTTTAAAATAACACAATGGATGAAAAGGAAATTACCTAACACGGGTGTTACAATTCTCCCCCACTAGAATCGGACTTCGCTCTCAAAGTCAGTCTCTACGAACAGATCCAAATAATGCTGCCGCATCTCATC